ATATATATATATATCAATTAACAAACAATAATACTTCCGTTAATCGTGTTATAGTACAAACATCTTAGTGAAAATGAGTGTGTCATTTTAATACAATTAAAAAACAAAAGAACGGAAAACAAGAGCTGAAAAATATTTGCAGACGCATAATATCACAATGAAAAAAGCGTAATTGTTGTAGTTAAAAAAGTATCTATAGCTTATTAAGAGACCTAATTATTTAGGTAAAAAATATAAGCTGGGAATAATAGTTTTGTTTTCAGTAAACTTTAAAACAATGAATAAGTTGTAAAAACACAAAACGATTTTTTTCTCTGAATCAATGTATAGCATTATTTCGAAGTAAAAAGCACAGCACATAATTTTGCAATCATGAAATATTTCCAAATCACCGTTAAAATGCTATTGCTTAGGATAACTAAAATTGTGTGCTTAAAACGAGTCAGAATTTTTTTGTTTTATTTATTTATTTATTTTTTAAGGTGATACATTCTTTATCCGCTGCTGCAGCGAAACCGAAGGCATTTTTATTTATTAATGATATATCAATAGAAAAATATAAAAAACGAACTTTATTTCACCTTAATTTCCTCTTACAATCTTAAGCTTTTGTATTTATAGCAGACACGTGTGAGCGACCACCAGCTAGGTTATCTCCCTTCTTACAAAAGTAAAATACTATTCAAGATTTCCAAAGTGTTCCTGAAAAGAATGCGTTTTTTGGCGAACAAGTATATACCATTCCTCTGTATTACTTTTCTTGACCCCTATCAATTAAAATTAACATTCAGTGTTATCAATGACGTCAAAATCTATTTCAGAGTATTAGACTTTAAAAGGACGCTATATCACGGAAGAAAATATTTACCACAAAATTTTCTTTCCCCTCAATAAGCCCCTGAGCCGCGATGGCTCAGGGGATAGAGCGTACGCCTTCCAATGAGACGAACCGGGTTCGAATCCCAGTCGATACGAATTCCGCATCCGGCTTGCACCGACGTGAAATATCCTCAGTGGTAGACAGATCATGGGTTAGAGTCGCCTTGCCGTCAGGCTATCAGTGGGAGGTTCTCATGGTCTTCCTGTAACGCAAATGGGTGTTAGTTCCATCAACAGTCCTCCACGCAGACAAATTTCTCCCAATACTCAATCCAGGAGTTCCCTTGTCTTCTGGATTGGGTTTGAAATTAAAAGGTTACGGAGTTGAACATTAGTAGTCGTAAACCCGTAAAGTTGGGTAGGCTGCTCAACGACGGTCATAAAAAAAATTAATTTAAGGCCAGGATAGCCTGGTTGGTAGGGCACTGTACCCATGTCCAAGATGTCGTGGATTCGATCCCCTCCGACCGAAGACCCCCCCGTGTAGTAAATGGTGACTGATGCACGTTAAGTCTGCCATGTTCCCATAACAAATCATTACCTCTGGGGGTACTGATCCAGGAGTTTCCTTGTCTTCTGGATTGGTTCAAAATTATAAGGCTAAGGAGTTGAACATTAGTAGTCGTAAACCCAAAAATTGGGTCGACAACGAGCCGTGCTGGCTCAGGGGATATGGCGTTCGCCCTCCAATGAAGTGAATCGTGTTCGAATCCCAACGATGGCTAGTCGATAAGAATTCCGCACCCGGCTCACACTGACCACGGTGCTGACGTGAAATACCCTCAGTGGTATGCGAATCATGTGTTCGAGTCCCCTTCGCAACAGGCTAACCGTGGGAGGTCTTCGTGGTTTTCCTCCTCTTCATGTAACGCAAAAGCGAGTTAGTTCCATCAGAAAACCTCCACGGAGGCAAATATCTCCAATTATTTGATCCAGTAGTAGTAGTAGTGTTCTTGTATTCTGGATTGGGTTCGAAATGACAAGACTACGCAGATGAACATGAGTAGTCTCGTAAACCCTAAATTGGGTTAGGTGTTCAACGATGATTATAAAATAAAGAATAAAATATAAGAGAAACTCCCTAGCGTAAAAATGCGTGAAACTGTTTCCTCTGAAGTAAGTAAGTTAAAAGTAACTTTTCTGGCCAGTTTTTTTTCCTTTTTAGAAAAAAAAATCATATCTATGTTTGAATTTAAGTAAACTTCTATGTCACATTCAATAAGGGACTGTTTAACGTACATTACATCAAAATGTCACGTTTCTATCTTAATGCGATTTTAAATTAAGACACGAACCAAAAATCACGCTGCACCTTACATTTTAAAGTGCTGTGAATTTGCTCAACCTGTACATTTGTTTGCATTTTTGAGAATACCGGAGAAGAAACGTTCCATTATATTTCACCTCCGTTGACCTTAGCTCATGTGGTGCCATGCGACTCAAAGAATTCTAATCAACGGTGTGATTTAAGAATTTTAATGGACAAAGGACATAAAATGGTAAGTTACAAGTCACAAACCGAGGAAGAAACGTTACATAACATAGTATATTTCACCTCCGTTGACCTTAAAATTTAAAGTTCAAACAAACCTGGAGAAAATCACAAAGTTTCAAAAGCTGAATAAAAGGCTTTCAAATTATAAAAATGCAAAGAAAAAAAAACTCAGCATTTGAAGCTCTTGGTTTACTTGAAGTCATTTTCTTATACTTAAAGTTAATAATTAAAGTCCCTAGCCAAATTATTAGACGCATCAATAAGATTCTATGTAAAATCTTAATTATCAGGTGATACTTATACAGCTTTATTGTTTTTATGTGACTGACTTGCACTTGTTTACGTTGGTATATCACTTTCATAAATTCGACAATTAGATAAAGAGTTTTTTTTTTAAATTTTATAACCGTTGTTGAATAGCCGACCCAATTTTGAGTTTGCGACTACTTGTGTTCATCTTCGCAGCCTTGCAATTTTTAAACCAATCCAGAAGACAACTCCTAGATCAGTAACCCCCAGAGGTATTTGTCATGGGAACATGGAGGACTTTGTGACCTGACAGATTCAACGTGCATCAGTTACCATTTACTACACCGGCTGGAAGAGATAGAACCCACGACCTCTTGGACATGGGCCCAGTGCCCTATCAATTGGGCTATTCCGGCCAGATTGGATAAATTTGACGATATATTACATAAATATAGAATATTTATTATATCAGACATTACATTAGCATATTATAATAGTTAGACCAAATGATTAGACGTACTGTAGTGATTTAATAATGACATGTTTTACACAAGTTTATAGGCAATACTTTTATATTTAAACGTACATGTAATGGGTTTTTATTCAGGATATTTTTTATACACTTCTTATTTGTATTTATGGGTTTATATGTCAAAAATACACACATAAATAAAAGTAGCTAGTATATTTGTTTACGATTAACATATATTGAAAAATGTACTTAAATAAAATAATGTTGTTAACAAATTATTCTTTGTTTTTGTGGAAAGTATGGACTTTTAAGAAAATAGCAATAAGGAATGAGAAGCAATTACGGGGATGGGTGAGAAGTGCGAGCAGGGGACGGAACATCCTAGTCTTCCAAATAATTAAAAAAAATCGTCTGCAGTTTAAATAACAACAAATTTGTAATGCTGATCTTATGGGAAAATTATTTTCCACTGCCCGAAAAATCGAAAGAACGTTCTGATGTCGGTATTATTTCTTCGTGATCCAAATTATTAGTGCTTCCAATTGTTATTTTGAATGCAATAGGAATTCAAACGGAAAAAAAAAACATTCGTTTCATATTTAAATAGATTCTAATAGAAGTTACAAAGTAGCAAACGGAAAGGTGAGAAGTGATGCAATATTTAATCTTAAATGATTACTAACCTTTGCCACTTCCTAACATCTGTTTAAGTTCACAAGAAATGCTTTAAAATTCAGTTATTATTTCCAAAAAGTTTCTTTTTAGTGAACGCAATCCATAAAGTAAGTAAGATTGTTTCTTTTACGGCATTTATCTCCTCGGGAGTTATTTTATTCTTTTTTTTTCGAATTATAAGAATAATTCTCTGGGTTATTTTTATAAGCTATTAACAAATAAAATTGTTTTTGATGAGTCTATTCCTGTATTTTATAATTTAATAAGTGTTTGCAGGAATTTTTCTGATCATGAATTTCGTCTGCAGAACAAGTATGTGATTGTTAGACAGTAAGACCTAAATATAAGATAATGCAGTTTTTTTTTCTTGTGATGCTAACGTTATAACTGAAAGGTACTTTCGAAAAAATATCTTCATAGAGCTTAAAATTTTTTTAAATTAATTTCTAACACAACTTTTATGTATGCACAGTTTCATCTTCTACTCAAATTTGATTAAAAAAATTCTTAAAATTGAACAACTACTGTAAAATATCTAAGATAAAGTGAAAAACTAAGGAAGCTAGAGTTGCGACTTTCTTGCAAATACATGGGAAGGGGGGGGGGGCTTGAAATTAGGTTATTTTTCCCGACTGGAGGAAGGGGTTCCAAAATTGTCAAAAAACATGCTTACGAAATATAACAACGGTGCCCCAAAACTACTTGGCCGATAGTGATTCACAATGGTATGTATTTCTGCGAATCAGCCCATCCAATTTTTGGGTTTGCGACTACTAATGTTCAATTCCGTAACCTTGCAATTTTGAACCCAATTCAAAGGACAATCAACTCCTTATCAAGTATTGGGAGAAATTTGCATTCGTGGAGGACTTTTTGATGGAATTAACCGGCATTTGCGTTACATGGAGAGGAAAATCATTTAAACCTCCCACGGTTAGCCTGACTCCAAGGGGACTCTAACCCATGCTCCATCTACCACTTAGTATATTTTATATCAGCATTGTGGTCAGTGCAAGCTTTCATCGCATTGCAAGGCGAACGCTCTGTCCCCTGAGCCATCACGGCTCTGAAGTTGCGAAGTTTGGTGGTTGTAAGATGTGAAATTAACTGGAAACGATGTTTTAAGTATAGCAAATTAATTCGAAAATCAATCTCTTCACTGATCAATGGTAACTTATTCAAATTTTATATACGAGGCCCAAAATATTAAGGCCAATTGTTAAATAGAGAAATTAGGAAAAATTTGGAATTTTTTTTTTAAAAGTTGCTGTTCAGATTTTTTTTTTTAGGTAACCTTAAGTTTGCCTTCTCCCTAGAGACTGTTCTTAGACGGAGTCTTGAATTAATTAAAGGGAAGAAGTCAAATACGGGTAAAATTTACTTACTGTCATCGAGACAATTATTTATTTTTGCCGTGAGTCAATTATAAGTATTTACTCGTATGACCTATTGCTCAGAACGTAATAGTCACAAAAATTGCTGGCATGATAAAAAAATCAATGTGTTCTTCCTTAGACTTTCAGTTTTAACCCTCAAATCCTAAAGAATTTTTTTTTTTTACAAAAATAAAAAAAAGTAATAAAAAAAAAATAAATGTTTATAATAGTTTCCACAACATATCCTGAAATTTTCTACGAAATAAAAAACGTCAACTTATCCTGCTTGATTTGCCTAATTATCAGAAAGAAAAAAAATTCTGAACAAAAATGATATAACTTTTTTAAAAATAGTGTTTTTTATGCTCTCAGACTGCGTATTGTTGGAGTAACAAACGCTTTTTGTTTTGTAAAAACCGTGGCTTTTCATTATATTGACATGTTGCATCTTTTTTCCAATTAGCATTTGAGACGCCGGCTAAGGATCGGTAAAACATGACTAAACAGTCACTAATAACTGTTAAAAACTCGCAATAACATGTAATTATGTAACCAGCATGTTATTTGTTAAAAAGTGTAACCATACAGGATTTTTAGAAAACAGTCTTAAGGGATTTTTCCCTGATTTTGTTCATTCTTTTTCAGGAAATGAACAATTTCTTGAATAAAAGTTTCGTTGTGTTGCAAGTAGTTTCTAGCTTGTACTATTCATTGTCCTTCAAATTAGAATCGGATGTCAGTTAATATGATTTATTTATTATCGGCAAAATACAACTAAACAGTCGCTAATAACTGTTAAAAACTTGCAACAACATGTAATTACTTTAACAAGTTATTTGTTATAAAATGAAACTTCACAGGATTTGATCTACCACTACAAAATTACACAATTCCAACTCCCTAGTATATAAAACATGTTAACTCGAGTCTATGTTGGGGTACATTTTCATAGATGAAGGTTGACATTGTCGATAACTATTCTCCCCACATTGGTGACCTTGACAGAAACGCCCAGTACGATTCTAACACGCCTATTTCGATGGATGGATCACATTGAACAGTTGACTTGCTACTTGTGACTGCGACATTATCCACTTCCTCGTGCTGTTGCTACTCAGTTACGATCACATGCAACGTACAACATATTCATGCTGCTGATAATGGCAACACATGAGCGACCACGATCATGAACGGAATTCAGCTCTCACAGTCAGCACTCAAAAAGTACGGTGATCTTAATACAGTACTCCCGACTTCTCACAAAACAGCAATGAATTAACTAGTGGTATCCATTCATCGAATTCTATCACAGATATAATTCTGGTGGTGGAGTATACTGTAGTGTGTCTACCACTACAAAAGTACAATCCCAATTCACTAGTATATAAGACATGTTAACTCGATTCTACATTGGAGTACCTTTACGTAGACGAAAGTTGACATTGTCAACAACAACTCACCCCCCACAACCTTAAAAAATCAGTCTTAAGGGATTTTTTCCTTAATTTTATTAATTTTTTTAAAATTCTTTTTCAGGAAATGACCAATTTATTGAATAAAATCTTCGTTGTGTTGCAAGTAGTTGCTTGCTTGCACTATTCCTTGTGCTTCTCGTTCGAATCCGATGTCAGTCCATGTGACTTATTTATTGGGGAAGACGACACCGACAATACCTTGTTTTGTGATCAAGAGAACACCACTTTAGAACAAATAAAGAATGCTCTGAATTCTCTCAAGGGACAAGGTACCATAGAATTGGAACTGTACAAAGTGAGTTTGGGTGTTGTACCGTCGGATTTCTTCAAGGGTCACAACATTAAAGTTTTGACCATCGCTTTCTGTGACCTAAAGAGCCTGGCTGGGGGAGGCGGACGAATTCTAGAGGGTCTTGAAAATACTGTAGAAGTGAGTATAATTTTTCACCCATATGTCATTAGTATACCCACATTTTATGTCTTCAAAATAATTTTTTGAATTTTATCATAAATTTCATCATATCATAAATTTTATTTTATCATAAATTTTTATCATAAATACTAGACTAACTAGACATAAAATCTAATGATGATGTCATAATTTTCCAATGTTGTCGGTGCATTTTTATTGGCCAGAAAATCACATGGTAGGATCCAGTTTTCCCATATTAATTTTCATATTGGTTTGTTTGTCCAGGGTGCGTAGCCAAATTATTCAGCAAAAAAAGCACTTTTTAAGCACATTTCCATCAAAAAAATATTTTTAAGCACTTTAAAAAAATATCACTAATTAGACAGGGTTTGAAAGTTTTTGACAATTGATGGTTTTATCTTGTTTTAACCGTCATGTCAAAAAAAAGAAACCTTTTGCATTGTTTTTGACAATAATCAAAAATCATGAAATTTTGAATCGGGTAAAACGAATGGTGCTTTCATACGCTACGGACTGACAATACGCCGAAATGGATTGGGGTTGAATTAATTCTGAAACCGAGAATAGAACAATGTGAACTGTGTCGTTTTGCATAATTCGAAGTGAAAATCAACATAGCAAAGGAAAAATCTCATTTAGAAAAAGGGAAACACTTTTTAAAAACACCCAATGAAAAAAGCACCTTTAAGGGCTTTTAAAGAACGAAAATCAAAAATAAGCATCTTTAAGCACTTTTTAAAAACTCTACGCACCCTGTTGTCATCAGCACAAAATCGATGTAAGTCGTAAAGGTATTGCTTTCCTATACATATTTTTGTATCCCTAATTTAAAGGTATTACCTGTACTGTTATTATTATGTTTTTCTTTTTGTTTCTTTTCTTAATTAAGAGTTTAAGATTGCTTTTATTATTAGAGTAACGAAATTCTTTGGACGTGAGAAGTGGTGGTACACGTGGTCTTTTTAATACGTTTATTTTTAGTTGAACAATTTCAATTGTTTTATGCCAAGAAATATTTGCATATGGAGCATATTGCGAAGCAATCATTGGGGTTGTTGAGCAAACAGGAGGCTTAGCCCCCTAGTATTTTCTGAAAGACAAAGTGTTTTTTAATCTTTACTAGTAATATATATTTTTAAAATCTTTTTTTGAAAGATTTTTTTAAAAAAATATTCATATTAGGGATGGTAAATTTATAATTGACCTATAAAAAACAAACAAAAAGGCTATCGATATGCAACGAATGACTTTTGATAAAGAAGGCATTTAAAGCATCAAAATTAACTTGATTGCCAAAAATTTGAAAGTTAACGTCCTACCTTAAACTTTTAACCTGCTTAAGTATATAAAATTTATATTATGAAATATTTTTTGCGTTCAATTTTTTCCGTTTTCCCAAATATTTGATTATTCTATCAACTTAGGAAGTTTGAACGTTTTTTGTATTAACATATTTTATTAACTTTTTAAGTAATGTTTTCACGTCACGTAACTTAATTACTCCACGTCTAACAACGTATGCGTAACATAACGACGCGTAACGTGACGTAATATTCAATTAATACTCGAGAAACTCATTTTGTTAATTTTTCTCCAACGTGTATTTTAATTTACCAAAGATCTGATTTTTACGAAACGAATGCAATACTTACGAGTTTTTAAAACGATTATATAACCTACGATTAAGCAATTTAAAATTTAAAATGTTAGGTTGAAAACAAATGTTCTACTTTTGGAACAGCCGTCTCATCAAGTTCTATTTTTAGATTTCATGTAATGCATTGAGTTATATTCTGTGCAATTCTTATGTTTTTTTTTAATTTTTTTTATTTATTTATTGAATTGGTGTTATGACAGACATTCAAGAAAAAAAAATATTGCAATAGAAAAGGGAGCAATAAATATGCAAATATTTAACTTCTTAAATAAATTCAACTTTTTCTGAAGTAAATTCAATTTCAAACGATGAAAGACAAATTCTTATTGATAAGTTTTTTCCTTTACTTGAAATTCTTACACTTTTCACGTATTATTTGATAATGAAAGAAGTTTTTAAATGTGTTTACTATAATGGTATTGTTCAATATCTCAGAAATATTGCACCAATTTGGCATTTTTGTCTTAGCATCCTCGCCACCGTTTACTGTAACCCCAAATCAGTTGAAAATTGGTTGTTGATCTTATAGCTTGAGCGTGCTCGTAACACCAATGAAAATCAAATTTGAAATACAGTCCATTAGCCATTTTATTCATTTTTTATCAAACGAACCAGCATAGAATTCAAATCAATTGGTATCGAACAGGTATAGAATTTATTCTTGCTATTTATTATTGGATTTTTCTTCTGGCTACTTGAGAGATGCCTTTAATGGCTCTTCCAGACACTCCTTCTGATTCAAATTTTTAAGATTATTTATATCTATCTGACTCGACAGATTTAACGTGCATCAGTCACCATTTACTACACAGGGAGTCTTAGTAAATGGTGATTGATGCATGTTAAATCTCCCGAGTCACAAAGTTATGAAGTCATTTACCGTATTTTAACTGTATTTACTGTAGTTAACAGCATTTACTGTATCTCAGAATCTAACGACCTTATGTTATATCGTCCATTTTCTCCAGTGCACAAAGGTCGTTATAACTGTACACAAATCTTAACACTTAAAAGATATTTGTATTCCTGACTCTAATAAAAAGCAATACAATAAATAGCTTGTTGTTTCTTTTAACAGGCATTGATGATTAAGGGAAGTTCAATTGATGGAAATGAGTTTCGGAATTCAGCTCTGAGCCACTTGAGGAAACTGAAACACATTGACTTCGAATCCAATAACTTCGAAGAAATAGGAGATGACTGGTTTAAGAACTCCCCACCATCTTTGCAATCGGTTTGGCTTTCAAATAACAACATTAAGAAGCTTGGAGATCGAGCTTTTGCGGATATTGTCAATCTTGATTTCTTAGGACTGAGTGGCAACAGTTTGAGATCTGTTAGTAGAAACATGCTGCCAAATCCCGCAAAGAAACTGTGGCGTTTAGAATTAGAGTAAGTTAAGAGATGGTATAAAACTGTTTTTCGAAGGCTGTGACATCAAAGGAAATAATGATTTTATTCTGTACAATTAATATACTATTTTTATGACTTCTGTGAGTTTGCAACTCATGACTGTTGGGTTAAGTTTTGATATTTAGCCAGAACTCTCTCCGTTTATTTTGAAAGTAGCGCAAAATGTTGACATATTTAAAATCTTACTCCTATGCTGCTTTATCTGGACTCGTAAAAAATTGCAAAAAATAAAAATATGGCATTGATATTGATAATTTTCCTCTCGTTAAAAAATAGTCGCCAAATTTGCGATTTTAAAAAAGTTCTATAATTTTTTAAAATATTTAAGTTATTTGTCAGTTCTGAAGCATAGATAATTCTTATTTGGCAAGATGGCACATAGAGTTTAAAATTAGATTTTAAATTTTCCTTGGTGACAGAGCTTCGAAAAACCATGTTTGAATATAGAAAAAAGAAACATTTTTTTTCAGCATTTGAAGCTTCATTATTTAGTCTAGGTTTCCTCTAATCTTTAAAATACAGGGGCGATTGGAGCACAAAGTGAAAAACCCTGAAAATTTTGCGTGAAAAAAATGATATCAATTTATATACTATGCATGTTTCATATTAAACATAGTTTTTTAAAAACATTTATAATTAAATTAGCTACTCATGCAGAATATCACACCTTTAGAGTACCTAATTCAAGAAAAAACTTACTTCTTACAAAAAGCGTGATATTGGATTTGAATATGAATTGCGATATTGGATTTTAAAAAAGCTAAAATAAAAATTGCGATATTGAATTTTTAAAGCGCGTAAATACGAATTACTGAGCAAAATTTTTAGATCGTGGGAATACGAATCGCAATGCGTAGTTTTTAAGCACGGATAAATGCGAAAATCGATGTTTGATATTATAAACGCGTGAATACGAATAGCAAGATTGGATTTTAAAAACGCGTGAATACGAATCGCGGTATTGGATTTTAAACTCACGTGAATACCGATCTCGATACATGGGTTTTAAAAATGTGTAAATATAAATCGCTATATTGGACTTTTAAATCACGCGAATAGGAATTTGCGATGCGCGATTTTTAAATCGCGTAAATAAGAATCGCGATGGTAGGAGATATCGGCAGAGGCTTCATTCTAAATCCCACAGAACACCTTTGGAACAAATTAGTGCGCAGATTACGTAGCCAGCCAAATCCTCACATCCAAGCGCACTCACTTCATCTGTAGAATCATTTGGCAACTTTGCCTGGGTTTATCGAGGCTCCTGGGTCAACCTGACCCTTAATCCTCCCTCAGAACAAATAAAGGGGTAACATGACACAAAACTAGTAAACACTTCATCTGTAATGGAAGTCAATTCCTATTCAAAAACTGGTGGAAAGTCTTCTCAGATGGCATCGATGCAAAAGGGGGACCAACCACAAATTAATGTGTGCATCAAGACGCTTTCTAAGTTTCCGGTTACTTTTGGCTGGATAGTGCAGTTAAACTTTCCCTCCCTAATCGCAATATAAAATAACAGAGAAAAATATGTTTATTGTTGCTAAAAATGTTTTTCGTTGTTGTTAGTTCATTCTTATTCTCCCAAAAATTACATGGTATAAATCAATTAATCTAGATTTCTTTGCTTTACAGCATAGAATTAATAAAAGTTACAAAGCCGTAAAATATTTCTATATTCCTCAACTTAAGGATTTTTATCTTTAATATTTACTTATCATAATTTCTTAGTATTCTGTCAATTATTAAATCTTTCATTTTGATTATTATATCTAAATTAAAAGCTAAAAATTGCGGCGTTTCTTTGTCAATAAAGTAATTCTATAATTTTGTCTTGTAACATTTCATAATAAACTTATCTAAATCAGCATCTAAACTAAATAAGTGTTTTTAAAATTAGATGATTTAACTTAGCAAGTTTTGAATAAAACTTTGTCCATTTAACGCATGCAATTAAAGCAATGAGTACTAAAACATTGAGCATATTTTTAATATGCTCAACGTTTAACTTATAATAACAATTAACTTTTCTTACAATGACTAAATAATATCTATTGCAAAAAAACTTAAACGAACATTTTAAAAATAGCAAATATTAAATAGGAATTTAAAAATCAGAAAATATTCCATTGGTTTACACTACCCTTGTATAGTGTCAACGGTGGAAAAACTTTAAGAAAATTTTAAAATTGGGATACATTATTATTTATAATATGTATAAGTTTCTTTGGTATAAACTTGTAAACGAACTATTCTTATTTATAATATTTTCAACAATTAAGGTTGAAATAAAATATAATCTTTTTAAACATGTTTTTGATTTTCATATTCTAAAATTTTATAAATATTTCGTATTATTGCAGTTAAAACTCGAAATCGCGAAACTTAATTTATCATTGAGAATAAAATTTTTGTTATTTTTTTTTCAGTGATAATAAACTATCTAATCTTCCTGGAGATATTTTTTTGAACGCTCCAAACCTGGAAAGAGTTTCCATTTCTTCCAATTTAATTTCCGCGTTGCCCGAAAATGTTTGGCGACCTATTTGGAAACAGTTGACTCACATAGATATAGACAGTAAGTATTATTTTTTTAAAACTCGTTTTTAAGTTGACCCATATGAAAATGAATATAATGATATGCTTTTTAATGAGAAAAGTTTATTAACGTGATTAAATAAAGATAGAAAAAGTCTACGCGTTTTGAGTGCTGAAAAAAAAACGGCCCGTTATCAATTGGCTACCTACAAGCGACATCATCGTGGGTATGCATCCTGATTGGCTAGTGAAATGTGGCATTTGTTAGTGTTAGCAACTGTTCTTTCCATCATATTTTGAGTACGCCTAACCGGTAAACTATGAATTTTCTCAAGTGACACATTTTGCATTCTTTCACAATTTGGTGTAATTCTTTCTTACCACCAAGACAGGAAAGTAGCATGTGGTGTAGAACATAAACGAACTAATTATGCGTCACAGTTGCCAGATGCACAAAACAAAAATAGTCATGGTTACAAAGAAATACATTAACAAATAATAAGTTTAGGTTAACTGAAAGACGTAAACAAAAAAGAATTACATTTTAACAAATTTTATATGCGATACGGCATTGTATTTAATTAATTTTACGATACTTAACGTTCTAACTTATGTGTAGAAAATCAGCTTGACCACAGCCAGCAGTACCCAGAACATTAATTCACCATCTTGTTTGTTAACAACAAGATGACGTTATTGGTCAGGTGGTTGTGTATAAATGGTCTTCTTCTCGAGTTGAGACAACCCCATTATAACCAACACGTGAATGATTAAAGGAAATTAAACTTGAAAAAAGAAAGGCCCCTTTACCAACGAAAAAAATAATAATGAATGCGAAAAACAAGAAGAAACCGCGTAATCGAGAGGAGTTATGGTGGCTGATAGAGCAATTCAGGACAGGTTACATTTGGAGGCTAAGTGGACGAATGAAGGAGACGAACTTATGTTAACAACAAGAGAATCAGCATTAACTATAGAGAATGAATTCTGGAGCATTAAGATGAGCTGACTGAAAGGAAAGGGGAATTTATTCTCAAGGTTCCAATAATGTGCTGTGTAAAAATTTTCTGATACAACTTTTATCGAGTTTTAAAAATCAAAGGATCAACACAGCGCCACAAGACAGGTCGAAAGATAGATCGGCCTTGCGAATTAAATCAGATAGGAGCGCCTTTCGTTTGACAAGAGAGCACCGTTGGGGTGAAAGTGCAAGCCCCGGATAGATGGCAGCACCTTCCATTCGCGAGGCCACCTCTTCCATAATTTAAATATACATTTGAAGGGAAAGGAAACTTTCTCCAGATCCCTATACTCGTTGTACTGCCCAGCCACCGATCACAGGACTTTCGATCGCACAGATTTTACCCACACGTATATCTCATACCCTCACTCGTAGTTGCTTCGAGGATCGAACCCTGGACCCTTCGGATTGAAGTTAGATGTTCTAATCACTGAGTTACCACAGAAGGCGATAATGAGAAATCAGAAGTTTTCTATTAGCTGCAGTTGCAGTGGATGGCATCTTTTTTTTTTTTTTGAAAAAGCGAACATTGAGAAGAAAAAAACACTGAATAAATTTTTAATTAAGGATCAGATTTTAAAGTGCTAAGTATTAAGTACTTGGGACTAAATTTTAAATCTTTGAGCCGGTAACATTAAATATACAAGTTAACTATAGTCCGTTCACCAGGAGTTGACACTTGGCTCCACCTCCTCGGAAGCAGAGTTCATTTCAGCGCGGGAGTAAGAAGAGAAACATCTCCGTGCTTGAAATTGNGTCTAATTTTTTAATATTTAAAAACTTACTCCAATGCTGCATTATCTGGGTTCATAAAAATGTGCCAACACTGAGAATAAGGCAATAATTTTGCTAATTTTCATCTAGGGAGGAAAATGTCGCCAAATTGGCGATTTTTAAAAAGTTTAATAACTTTTAAAATATTTAAGTTATTTGTCTGTTTTAAAGTCCGGATAATTCTTCACGACTATAGTCCGTTCACCAGGAGTTGACACTTGGCTCCACCTCCTCGGACGCAGAGTTCATTTCAGCGCGGGAGTCAGAAGAGAAACATCTCCGTGCTTGAAATTGAGACAACCCTTAATTTGCGCCAAACACAAATAGTGAATTCTTTTTCAGTCACATACTTCGCTTTATCATCTGCTATTATACCTTTTGTTACTCTAGCTAATTAAATGTAGTTTAAATTTAAAAAATGCTGCTCTCCCAGCAAAATGTCTCATAAAGGACAAACTATTCACTCAAAAGAAAGAAATATCATAAGAAATGGGGCAAAATACCATCAAATTTATGAAATATTTATTGTTAAAAAATGCACATGAAGTTTGCGAAATAAAGATTTTTGCCAAACGATCGCCAAATAGCAACATTGTTCAGGATTGCTTACAACCTTCTCCCAAAAATAGCGAAATAGAATCGTCGCATACCACGTGATGTAGGCGGGGCCAAGTGCCAACTCCTGGTGAACGAGCTATAGTCCAGGTGATATTTTAAATCATGAAAACAGGGACAAAAACGTTCGATCTCGTTCGTATAAAATATATATATCGTACTATGTTCCCGAGAACTTTTTAAGCGAAACGAAAATCTTTTGCACATAATCATTAAATTCGCTTATCCAAATATAATTTCTCGTACAATAATCTAGCTATTATTTCATAAAACAATAGTAACGACAATTTTTATAGTAAGTTGCTAAAATTATTACACCATTTTGAACATTGTCATTTAAAATTCAAAACACAACATTTAAGGAGTAGTTTCCGAGAATTGAAATCTCGAAGTAGTCTCATTTTTAATTTTTATTTCTCGAGAACAATTCGACAATGCCTTTCAAATTTTTTATTACGTTGATTATTAAATAACTTTCATCAACGTTAAATCGTTTCATCAACGTGCCTCAAATTTCAAATTTTGTTTTTCTTCATCAATAAATTAAATAATAAAATAAATATTAAATAAAAGAAGTTTTTTTCTGTAGAAATATTTTGGGTACAAGCTTTATAACTGTGTGCAAATATTTTTTGAATCGCTTCATTACTTCAATCCAATATGACGAAATACGCAAAAAGTAAACATAAAAACTTATATTATATTTCTTGATTGTGGATACCCTTAACTGTTAAGGGGCAAAATTTGAAATTCGGCTTAAAAAAAGTATATGTTTATTCAGCGAAAGTATTCTTGTCTGATTTCGCAACTTAAATATCGTCTATAGTTCGTTCACCAGGAGTTGGCATTTGGTTCCGCCTTCATCTCGTGATATCAGACGATATTATTTCGCTATTTTTGGGAGAAGGATGTGAACAATCCTGACAAAGGTTGCTATTTGGCGATCGTATGTCAAAAATATTTATTTCGCTATCTTTATGTGCATCTTTTTAACCCCTTAACGATCGGTTAATTTTCAAGAAAACGATCATAATAGTGCCTATTTTTTGGCTTTTGTATTTGTATTACGTATTTAATTAGTGTTGCAACTAGTTAAAAATAAACTAACCATCTGTCAAAAACAGAATACCATTCATTTTCCTTTTTGGTAGAAAACGAACCAATAGATGGGGCCACGAGACTTAGAACTATCTAAGAACAATAATTTTTAGTTAGTTTGATTTTGTTACTGTCGTTGGAGACATGATNCTGAACACTCCAGCCCGTCAATATCACGGGAGCGAGAAATAGCGTGCGAAAACTCCCCCCGTCATTTTCACGGGAGCGAGAAGGAAGGGGTTAACATAAAATATTTCATAAATTTGATGTATTTCTCACTTTAGAGTGAATAGTTTGATCTTTTTGAGACATTTTGCTAGGAAAACAGCAGCTTTCAAATTTAAAATATATTTAATTAGATAGATCAGCGAAAGTATAATAGAATTCACTGTTTGCGTTTGGCACGCATTAAGGGCTGTCTCAATTTCAAGCGCAGAGATGTTTCTCCTCTTACTCAGAGTCTGAGAAGGTGTAACCAAGTGCCAACTCCGTGCGAACGAGCTATACACTAACTAGTTAGCATATTTAGGTTAGGTCCTAGAATCGGTAATGATTCAAACTTCGTAGCTGAATCTTCGTGGACAAAACTTCCCTTGGGGCCGAAATCGAGCTTTCGATCGCTCAAATCTATCGTAAGATCGTTTCCCAAGCTCAAATTCTTAAATTAAGAATTAACATTAGTTTATGCATTAATTTTCATGAAAATATCTTATATGTTATATAATTTTAATAAGTTCAAATTCGGAATTAATTTCCTTTTGATAAAAGTAGAATGTTAAACTAAATAATATTTTTATATTTTACTTTTTTAATTTAAGAAACAGAATGAAAAACGTTTAATCTTAATTTAGAAAAATTATTGTTTTAAAGTTTAAAACTTTAATTTTTTCGTTTAATTTGCGTAATTCTCAATTACTAAATTATGCATAATTTTAATACAAGATATTTTATATAATATATAATTCCAAAAATTTCGAATTCATAAATAATTCAATAGTAATAAAAGTAAAGTATTAAAAAAATATTTTTTTTAAATTTTATTTTTGAAAAAATAGAATAAAAAACGTTTAATGTTCATTTAGAAAAGTTAATGATTTAACTCATAATGAATTTAACTTTAAGGATGAGTAAAATATTAAATTATAATTTTTTTTAAATTTTTATTATTTCTTGCTGTTGTTGTAGTTCATTTACGTCGCACTAGATCTGCACAATGGGCTATTGGCGACGGTCTGGGAAACATCCCTGAGGATGATCCGAAGACATGCCATCACAATTTTGATCCTCTGCAGAGGGGATGGCACCCCCGGATCGGTAGCTCGACGACCTGCGCGCGAAGTCGAGCACTTTACGGTAACACAGTTTAACCTACGCAGACTGATCCAAGTGGTCACCCACCCGCACACTGACCGCAGCCAGTGATGTTTTTATTATTTCAATTTAAAGAATAGAATAAAAAACGCTTGATGTAAATTAAGAAAAGTTCGTGTTTAAAAGCTAACGTACCGACGAGATTTTATTGATGCGAAATGATGGATTGGTGAAGTCTTATACACGCGAAGTAATAGATCGGCGAAGTTTTGGCTGCGAACTGCAGATTAATATTGCATGAAAATATAGTATTTCAATAAAAAGTAATCCAGAGTGCCCACTTTTTTATTCTGCAGCTCCGTACATTAACAATTTAGGGTAAATTTTTGTACTTTTTCTTTCATTTCAGAAAATCCGTTAAACTGCGATTCTCTTGAAGACTGGATTTCCGAAGAATCAACATGCGCTAAAGTTACTGGAACTTGCAGATTTTTTCATGGAACATATCGAAAGAAACTGCCTTTGAAACGTGACTTAAACTGTTAATAACACTGTTATTGCCAATAAATGAGACAAATTTATTAAAGTGACTTTTATCATTGATATAAAAAATAGAATACACACTGTTGAGCATTTTTTCTTCGATTTTGACATTTCGTAGTAACCATATCTGTGGGCTATAAGTGTATTTTGCACATATTCCAAAATCTATAAACAAGCTTAATTTCATTAGAGGAAATCTTTTTAGTAAAAAAATTAGTAGAAAAAAATGGGCCACAAATTTTAGAGAGTGATGCAATTTTGTATAAATATATTCAATATTACATATGTACCTAAAATTATTAAAATTATATTGAAAAGCATGCATAAAAACTTTCTTTCGCAAATTTTCATTTTAAGAACAATTCAAAAATATTGTTCATAAGTACATAGTAAAAAATTTCGTGTATCTGAACACCGAAAATGAAGGCAATAACTTTATGCGAAAATGTTCTACCTGGTATTCCAATAGACCAAAACACAAGGATCAGTAATTATGGTCGCATACTTGTAAAATAAAACGAGTTGGTCAATGAAACATTCGCGTAGCAGAGAGAGTATTAAGACTAATTTGAATTTGGCTTAACAGAGAGAATAGAAATTATATATATTATAAAATTATTTAATGATGTTCAAAGAGACTTGAAAAGTAAATAATTAAGGTTGTATACCTATAAAATAAAATGAGTTGGTAAATCAAACATGCGAGTAGCAGAGAGAATACTAAGACGAATTCGAATTAGGCTTAACAGTAATGTATAGAACTCATACATTATACAATTATTTAATGCTGTTTAAAGAGACTTGAAAAGTAAGTAATTAAGATTGGACACCTATAAAATAAAATGAAACATGCGTGTAGCCGAGAAAATACTAAGACGAATTCGAATTAGGCTTAACAGTAATGTATAGAACTCATACATTATACAATTATTTAATGCTGTTTAAAGAGACTTGAAAAGTAAGTAATTAAGATTGGATACCTGTAAAATAAAATGAAACATACGTGTAGCCGAGAAAATATTAAGACGAATTCGAATTACGCTTAACAGAGCTGATAGAAATCATACATAATTAAATTATTTAATGCATTTTAAAGTGACTTGAAAATTAAAATATGTTAATAAATGTAAATACACGACTAAAAAAAAAATGCAACCTACATCATTTTTTTACGGTGAACTTCAGTCTCTGCAGATGAAAAGCAACATTGAACACAGCAGCAAACATTCGTTATCGATTGTAAACAAAAACGAAAGCAGACGAAACAAACATTGGAGTTTAAAGAAGTGAAAATATTTATTTGTTGGCTTATTGGAATTACGTACAGTTGCAGGTTTGTGGGATCAATTTAGGCTTATAAACCTTTGTCGAATAGAAGGTCAGATAGCACAATACAGAGAAGGACAGCACGAAAATACATCCAGGGTATCTGCGGGATTCGAACTCGCTAACTCCACGCTTTGCACAGTGTTTAGCTGGAAATACTGCTCGGCCAAGGAGACCCATGAAAATATTTAACGTATGGTGGAAATATTGTTGTAGTTAATTTACGTCGCACTAGAGCTGCACAATGGGCTTTGAGAGACGGTCTGGGATACATCCCTGAGGATGATCCGAAGACAAGCCATCACAATTTTGATTCTCTACAGAGGGGATGGCATCCTTACTTCGGTAACCCGACGACGTGTGCGTGAAGTCGAGCACTTTGAGGTGGAACAGTTTAACGAGGACCTATACCGCGCACCCTCGGTTCCTACGTAGACTGATCGAAGTGATCACCCACCCACTGACTGACCGCAGTCAGTGATGTTAGACTTCGTTATTCTACTGAGAACAGCATATTTTTCATATTTGGAGTGGAAGAACTGACATCGACGATCCCAAGGGCGTTATTTCAGGGGGGGGGGCAATATTGAACAGCAAGAATGTTCGAACAAAAATTATTTAAAACAAATCATTAAATCATTTGCACATCTTCTATAGTTTTTGTTGTCGTAGGCCATTAAGGTAAGGGGTGCGATTGTTTTTGCTTTAAGGTGGCACCATCTATAACCAAGAATTCGACTTCTGCCACGTTTATAAGGCGGACCCATTCCTTCATCCACAGATCGTAATTCTGACCTGAACCAAAGAACGACCCATCTCCAATTCAGTATCCCAGGGGTAGAATTCGTTACGGGAACATGGAGGACGTTGTGAACCGACAGATTTACGTGCACCAGAAACCATTTAGTACACGCCGAGGCTTCGAACATGTCTTCTTACGAACGTGAGTCCAACGCCCTGACAAACAGACAATCCCGAGCAGTGGTGGCTCAGAGGATAGAGCGTTCGCATTCCAAAGGGATGAACCGGGTTCGAATCCCAGCGATGGCTGGTCTATACGAATTCCGCATCCGGTTTGCACCGACCACAGGGCTGACATAAAATATGCTCAAACGTAGACGGATCATGAGTACCGTGGGAGGTTCTCGTGTTTTTCCTCTTCATGCAATGGAAATGCGGGTTAGCTCCACGAAGGCGAATTTCTCCCAGTACTTGATACAGGAGCTCCCTTGTCTTCTGGATTGTGTTCAAAACGACAAGGCTGTGGCGTTGAACATTAGTAGTTGTTAACCCAAAAATTGGGTCGGCTGTTCAACGACGGTTATGAAAATAAAAATCGGACCATCCCGATCTCACACATCTTATATTGTAACACAAAATAAATTTACAAACCATCAACTCTTACTTCTTGAAATAATTTTCAACAATTTTCGTACACGTGATTTTATTAAAACGATATCGTGCTACAGTTTTGTAACAAATATCTAACATTAATATTTCTTAAAAAATCAAAAGCATGTGTTAGATTAAGAAAATCAACTTAAACAATCACAAACAAAGATTTTTAACTTGAAATAAAGGTTGAATTTAAAAGGGAAAAATTTTCAAGGAATTTCAAGAATTTATAAAATGAAATGAACTAAAATAAAAAAATTTTGCTTAATACAAATTTTCATTTTTCATTTGAATTCAATTGTTGGGATTGTCGCTTTTGGCGCAAGCACAGCAGCTCTTGATCATGTGATCAAGAAAGAGTAGACTTCATATGATTATTTGAATTTGACATAAGCGTATTCATCTCTCTTGACGCAAAAATGTAATTCATTGAAGTTTAAGTGTTAATTTTTCGAAAACAATTCCAGCGGTTGTCTTTATCAAAGGTAGTGTTCGTTACCTTTTTAATATTCTCTTTTTTTCGGCTTTAATGTTTTGTTTAAGTGACTTAGATTTTAAATACTTTCGAATTCGTCACTTTATAAGTCTACGCACAACTATGCAGTGTTAAAGGTCTAGCATTCTTCGAAAGACAGGTAAATTAACTGATTTTAATTATTGCATTGCATGGATCTGTTTTTAAAGCTAAAAATCAATTTATTCAGATTGGATTTTTATATCGTTAACATTTATCGTATTTATTTATCTTTAAATTAAATTGAATTTGTTTACAAATTTTGAACTTTCAAATATTGCTTGAACTGATCCTTAATTTTAAATAAAGAAAAAGTGCACTGCAAAAATTGCTGTAAGAAATGTGCATATACCTGCTATTATTAGTTGTATGAAGCAATAATTTTCTGCAAATGCAATATATTTTTTGTCGTATTAAACCACATTTTGTAAACAAAAGTAAATATTCGAAATTTTCAAATAAAATGAGTTAATTTATTTTTTAATTGATTTTAATCAAAACGAACAAAGAAAAAAAAACTTTAAATGTAGTTTTTAAAAATAATTGCCGTCCGGTAGCTAATTTATGTTTTCTTTACAGTATTTTTGTTTCTTTTTCATTTTTTATTTTAGTATAGATTATAATTTTTTTTTCATATTTGGGAGAAAACTTATTAAACTTAAATTAATTATTTTACTGTACTTGGATAAAAACTTCTGACTTTATGACAGACATGTAAATCTCAATGTGTCAAATTGAAGTCCAGCAGTGGACTGATCGTTAAGACACGGTTCCCAGCAGATCACCGAAGTCAAGCATCACTGGCTGCGGTCAGTGTGCGGGTGGGTGACCACTTGGATCAGCCTGCGTAGGGACCGAGGGTGTGCGGTATTGGTCCTCGTTAAACTGTGCTACCGTAAAGTGCTCGACTTCGCGCGCAGGTCGTCGGGCTACCGAAGCGGGGGTGCCATCCCCTCCGCAGAGGATCAAAATTGTGATGGCATGTCTTCGGATCATCCTCCGGGATGTTTCCCAGACCGTCGCCAATAGCCCATTGTGCAGCTCTAGTGCGACGTTAATTAACAATAACAATAACAACAACGTGTCAATTTGAAAGTTTTAAATGTTACCACAGGCTTAATTTCCAAAACAAATAAATGGAATAAAGCCAAAAATGTAATTTTTTATTTAATTTTTTTTTACATGTTTGGGCGGTTGGAAAGTAGAGTTTGGGAAAACGAAGCATCTAAGTCAGGGGTCGTCAAACGTTTTTTGATCATCGACCCCTATATAATTTTTCGAAATCTCCATCGACCCCCATAAAAGTAATTTTCTGTTAATTAAAATAAAACTCTATTAGATACGTGTTTGTACATTTATTTTATGATTTTAAACATTTATTAAAATAATTGTACATTGTGTAACTATAGTTTTATGAAAAATATATTAATGTTGAAATTTAAATATGTACCTTAATATTTATTAAATAATAAGTAATTTTGAATAAGTAGAAATAATAAGTAAAGTAACTAAAGAGTTATTGCTTATTAATTAATGAGATGGGTGCGCAGGGTGTTTTTTTTTGCAAGGTTCGCTATATTGGTTTCAGAATTGGTCAATTTTAATTTTCGTCAAAATTGCTCAACTTTAATTTTTGTTGAAATTGGTCAATTTTGTAATTTTCGTAAAAAAAAATTACAAAGAGTGCCATAGTTTTGTGGCGGGCTGTACATTATTAATTATATATTGCTGCCATATTATTAATGCTTACCTTCTTTTTTTACATGCATTGATAATTAAAATTGATATCTAAACTAAACGAATGGTTT